CCCGCACCGAGGAATCCAGACCTGAGACAGCAGAGATGAAGGTCACCCCAGGGCAGAGTGAGGGGCTGCTTCAAAACGCAGTTGCTAGGAAGAGATCCCGCGGCGGGGGTGGGGGGTCGGGGTGTGCCCGTGGGAAGCCACGTCCCGTGACAATCCGGGCAGTGGGGCCTGGGCGGGCCGTCTGAGCTCAGCAGAGCATGGAGCAGCACCCTGGCCCCCACCCAGTCAATGCCCAAGTTCATGACCACCACACATGTCCCCAGACGTGGCCTGGGGTCGGAATGGAATGGTCCCTGGTGAGACCCACGGGGCTGGATGGCGTTCAATTCAAGCGTGAGCGATTAAAACCCATCGCAACGATTGACATAGGACAGTCCCCCCGCCCCCCGGGACGCACAACAGGAACGCGGGTGAAGGGAGACAGCGGAGGGTGTAAGAGGAGAATAACTTGCAATTTATCACGGGTTCTTGAGGGAGGGAGGGGGAAATGAGCCGATGCCAAGGGCTCAGGGAGAAAGAAAACGATTTGAGAATGATGATGGCAACCTATGTACAAAAGCGCCCGGCACGATGGACGGATGGATGGATGGCGATAAGAGCTGTAAGAGCCCCCAATAAAATGATTTTTAAAAAGAAAACATCCTAAAGAAACTAGATAGCTTCACATTGCTGCCTATGTGGCAAGATTATTAATGGATAGATAGGAACCGTGGAAAATCCACAAGACACGCTTCGCTTTCCATAAAGGGGAAGCGGGGCGGGGTGGGGGGAGTGTTCTTTGCCAGGGTCCGGTCGCCCAGTGAGGGCCACTCAAGGCTCCCTCATCTTTCCTCTCAGGCCAATTTCATGTACACAGAACACCCCCTCAACAGAAGCCTTGGGCTGACCTTTGACTACAGAGAGAGTCTCAATGTTGTCCTGGCCTCTGGCCTGAAAGGCATTTTGGTCCTCTGGTATAGAAGAACCCTGCTCATTTCCCGGAACGCAGGTAAGCCACCTTAGAGAAGGCTGTCAGAGCAAGGCCCCTGGGCCAGGCTGCTCTCGGCCTGTCCCGGTGAAGTGCCATGCCACGTCCGAGGACCACGGCGAGGGGCCCTTCAGTCGATCCTGCAGCGTAGAACTGCCCCACAGGGTTTCCAAGACTGTCCGTCTTTACGGAAGCAAGCTGCCTCAGCTCCCTCCTGCAGACCCACGGATGTATTGGAACAGCTGCCCTTTTGGTTAGCACCCAAGCATCTAGCTAGAGCCACCACCATTCTGTTCCTAAGTATGGTTATCATGCCACCCTGTCTGCTGTCTGTATTTGACCACACTGGTCTGGTGGTGGTTTTTAACCTCAAACCCAAATCCCCCCTGAAGTCTGACAGCAAACCACCGCTTTGGTCCTTTGTGTCAGTGGTAAATCTCATCCACCTTGAGCACCATCCCTGTGGGTCAAATGGACAGCCAGCAGCTCAGGAGATCCGTCAGGATGTTGAGGAGGAAGCAAGCGTATGTCAGCGGGGGAGGAAGAATTCCCGACAGCGGGTGAAAGGCCTGTGCCTCAACCGAGGAACAGAACCAACGTGCCTGAGCTGCCCGGGGACCAACTGTGGACTGGCGGATATTCTGCCATCCTGAGTCTCAGCAGCCCAAGCCCAACCGACCGCCTTCAAGGTGGTCCCAACTTTCAGCAACCCTGCCGAGGGTTTCCGAGGCTGTAAATCTGTACGGGAGCGGTCTTCTCTTCCTCTTCCACCGTGGCTGGAGGGTTTGAGCCGTGGAGGGTTTGAGCCGTGGAGGGTTTGAGCCATGGAGGGTTTGAGCCATGGGCTTTGTGGTCAGCAGCCCAGGGCCTCACTGACCCACAGCATCACCAGGGACCATGCTCATTAGCAGCAGCAGCAACAACAAAGTTAAATGG